CGTCATCTTCCATCGGGTTATCGCCAAGTTTATGCTCCAGACAGGTGACCCGCTTGGGGACGGGACCGGAGGAACTTCGATTTGGGGTCATGAGTTTGAGGATGAGTTCTCGGACGAGTTGAAGCACGACCGGTGCGTTTTCTCTCGGTCTATGGTCACGGTTAGGCTTTCAACTGAATCCTTTGGTTTGTGTTTTCAGGCCGTACACAGTCAGCATGGCGAACGCCGGACCGGGTACCAACGGATCGCAGTTCTTCATCACCACCACCGCGACACCATGGTTGGACAAGAAACATACAATCTTTGGACGGGTGACGAGTGGATTGGAGGTCGTCCATGCTATCGAGAATGTGAGGACTAATAAGACGGATAAGCCGTTTGAGGATATCAAGATTATCAATGTGGATGTAGAGGCCTGACTTGGCACTAATCTCTTGGGAATCTAAAAGGCTTTACACCACTTCAGCTTGATTGAACTATCTTGAGGATGCTGATTGATCGGAGTCTCTTCCGCTCTTGACTCGAATTGGAACGACCTTTTCCCACTCTGGGGACATGTGAGATGGAGCTCTATCGAGTAACCTCGTCGACCTGGCACGGGACGATTCCAGGCACCTTCTCAGGAGGCTAAAATGGTATCGTGTGGGAGCCAACTGCTGCTCTATGTGGGCACCTCTCTTCCGGTGGTAGCTTCTTGAAAGGTGAAGTTCGGAAGGGTCGCGGCGGATGGAACCTACCTTCAGCAAGAATGACGCAGTGAGCCATTTTGTGAACCAGCCTAACTTTTGTCTTCGATTGGACGGAGTCAGGGAGGCTGAAGAAGAGTTCCGGCGCCAGCTGCTACTATATAAGCCTGCGTTCGACCGCTCACCAACACCCCACAACCTCTCACTCACACTCACACGCCGAACCATTATGATCGCCACAGTGAGCACTTGCCCTCTACAACTCCTGCAAAGCTTCTCTGACCAACGAATGTATCGTAGACTCAAGCCTTTGTCAACGAAGCCTGTGCTACTGCCAACTGCTCATGCTCCGAGTACGCTGGCGCCGCTATCTCAACGTCGTCTCCCTCTGCTCGATCATGAACTGACTGTTTGACGCTTCTCATAGGTGTAGCTGTGCTCAGGGAGAATGTCAGTGCAAGAAGTGTTCCTGCGCTAAGTGAAGGGCTCGCGTCTAAGTGCCAGTGGGACGACTGTAGTGGTTGGGAGATCTAGAACGGCTTGAGATAGTAGGGCGTATGGATATGGTGCTATGCGGTCACAGCGTTCACGAATGTTTGCTATGCTTCTTCTCCGCCTGTGGGTATGTGACATGTGACACGACTTTCGCGTGAGCTCTGTCTGCGCTGGATTTACTGTAACACAGCAAGCCCAGTGTGATTGTTTGCGCTTTTAGATGCAATTCTATGATGAGTGAGTGGCTCGGCCCATTCGTGACCACGCCACTCAGCGTTCCAACCACACAAAAATCATTCCAGGGCGTAAAGCATTACATTGGCAAAGACAACAGCTTGGGTGATGTGGTTAAGAAAGGGCCACTCATATCAAGTGTTGGAATCCGCTTTTGCGAGCTCACACGCGAATACGGAAGGTGATGCGACATGTTGAAAGGGGTTTTACTTGGGGCACGGGCAAAATTCTTGGCGTAAAGGCTGAAAAACTGGATACGAAACTCTACCATTCGTATCTCATTAAGTTGAATTGCATCTAAAAGCACAAGCAATCACAAATGGGTTTGCTGTGTAATTGGCTGGACTTGTATTCGGAGGACGCTGTGATTTGGCTGGACCTTGTCGATGCGTCGGCTTTGCGTCGGCTGTCCCGGCCCTCGGCCAACACACGACCTTGCCTCTTACCCTCCTGCACTGCTCCGCGACTGCCAGTCCTATGCTTCGACTTGATAGTCTACTTCCACCATGTAGATGCTCACTAGCTGCGGCAACTCGTGCGCAAAGGACTTTGCTTCATACTCGACGCGATTTACACGCATCCTCCAGGCGGAATTTGAGGCATGGCGATGTATTCAGCCAACAACACTCACTATTTGCTGGGGACTCGGATGCAGGAGAGAACTATGCCTTTGTGACTGCATCCGAGCTTCAGGGCCACAAATCTCCACCGACTGCCGTCCGAATGCTCGTTCGAGACTTCATCGACGATTCTCTCTACAACCCCAACTACGGCTATTTGTAGGTCCCTAAATCCATCGTAACGCACGCGTCGGCTCAACAGTTTTCCGCAGCTCGAAGAGTGTCAAGATCCTGAACACTACGCACGAAGAGCCGTTTAAGTTCCCCAAGATCAAGAACGGTTCAGAGTTTGAAGCTTTGGTGGGGAGCCGCTATGCCGGGATGGGGAAAGATCCAGCACAGGGACCAGGGAAACAGGTTTGGCACACTCCAACAGAGCTCTTTCGCCCACACTACGGACAGGCCATTGCCAAGTGTCTGGTCTCGGAGTATCTCCTGAAATACTTTCCCTATGAAGATTTGATCATCTACGAGATCGGCGCCGGTAATGGCACTCTAGCGCAGGACATTTTGGACGTCATCCAAGAGGACTACCCAGATGTGTACGAACGGACTCAGTATAACATTGTGGAGATCAGTTCGACCCTAGCAGATTTGCAGAGAAAGCGGCTTGGTAGTAGACATGGCGGTGTCTGCAAAGTTATTCGAAGAAGTGTTTTCGATTGGGACAAGAGAGTGCCCTCACCAAGTTTCTTCGTCATGATGGAGGTTGCGGTGCGTTCTATCGCTCAGTAATAATGAGAATGTACCTCTGACGCTAAGTACAGGACAATTTCTCGCACGACCTCATTCGCTACGACACACGCACGCTGGAGCCATACCAAGGCATTGTAGAAATCTCCTCGTCGGGCGAATTCTCCCTCGTGTACACCCCCGTCATGGACCCCCTCATCACGAGCTTCCTCAACCTGCGCTCAGCACTCTCCCATCCACTCCCATCCGTGAACCCACTCTTAGCCCGTTCGCCCGCCTTACGCTCCCTGCTCTCCAACGCACCGTTCGCACCCAACCTCACAACCCCCGAATTCATCCCCACCCGACTCATCTCCCTCTTCCAAATCCTCCACAAGTACTTCCCCCGCCATCGCCTCCTCCTGTCCGACTTCTCTTCCCTCCCCGACTCCGTCCCCGGCATCAACGCCCCAGTTGTCCAAACGCGCTTACGGGGGAACATGGTGCCCTGCTCCACATTCCTCGTCAAGCAAGGCTTCTTCGATATCTTCTTCCCTACCGACTTTGAGCGCGTGCGGGACATGTACGAACACATTCTCTCTCTCCCGCCCACGTACAACGACCCGTCCTCATCCACTCCCCACGCCGTGATCCCCGACCGCCCAACACCGCTCACGCCCTACACTTCCTCGCTTTCCTTGGACTCTGGGTTCTTCTTCCCGTCTGCGCGGTATCAAGTTGGACATAGGAGACGGCTGGTGGAGGGGGTGTTGAGCGCGAGTGGGCTGCCGGTGGGGGAGAGGAAGAGCAGTGTGTGGAGTCATAGGGAGTTTCTGGAGACGTATGTGGATGAGTTGGGGAATACGACCTTGAGAAACGGGGAGAACCCAATGTTGGAGTGGTATGAGAACGTCAAGGTTTTGTTCTAGGCGCCTACTCAGTCGTTGCGGAGGGTGGTACGAGAAGTAGCGGGACGATCTGAGGGTACCTTGCATGTGTAGAGTACATACAGTATATAGCACTGTACGTTGTTATTACACGCACCCAGTGCACATTGTGTGCTATGTAGGTCTCGCGCCGTGTGACGCCGCACTGTCACTGTTGCGATTTGTCCTCTGGGTCTTCGGGTTCGTAGTACCTCACATTTGATTGTGTGCTCTATAGAATATTTCAGCGACGCATATTAGTCTTTGAAGAGGATATGAATTCCTTCTGCATACAGTACATGTATCTGAGTTCTACACTGCTACAGTATCATACATGGCACTAGGGCTCCAACCATATTGTATCTGTATACGGATGCACCTATACAGATACAGATACGGATGGAAGCAGTATGTATACTGTATGATACTGTATATAGACAGTTGTTTTTGATAATACATGGAGGAGTGTGATTATGCGTAGGAGCACTATCTAGCACAATCCAATGCAGGCTATGTAGTAGCAGGGACACAATGCCCTCAGGGCGCCAAGAATGCTCAAATTTACCGGAAGGATCAAACTGGACACGGAGTGAGTCAGTGGCTTTCAACGAGCAGGGAAAGTGCACTCGAGCCTCGATTCGAGTTGAGCGTCTACGAGCTATGACAACTGCGAAAACAATCATGTTTCTATGACCTAAGTGACCTGTTTCTATGACCTAAGTGACCTGTCAATCGATCCCAGGCTCATGGAAAACGGCCCAGAGGCGGCCGAATTTGGGGGGAAGGAAGATGAGGAGTATGGGAGACTCACCGGAGAATCCTGCTTCGAGTAAGGCGTAGATCAATTCGATGAGCGTCGCGGCTGTCCCTATCGTTTTGTGGAACCTGGATAACCTGGTATTCAGTCCCAGGTTCACGATAAACGGCCCAGAGGCGGTCAGGTTGAGGGGTAAGGGTACGAGGGATGGGGAAGCACTCACTGGAGTAACATGCCTTGTATATCGCGTAGACCCATTCGACGGACTGCGCGAACGTTCCCATTGTTTTATGGAGCATAGGTAGTGTAGTACTGAGTGCCAGACACGTGGTAAACGCGCTAGATGCGGCAGAGCTAGGGGGCAGGGGTAAGGGGGATGTTGGAGAATCCACCGGCGGCGTATGATGACATCTCTCGCATAGTGCGCAGACCCTTTCGATGAACAACGCGATTGCTCTCTTCGTTGTCTGACACCTAAATAAACTAGAAATCAGTTACAGGTTCACGAGAACGACCTACATGGCACTGTCTTAGTCTGTCACACTTGCGCACCACGTCAGTCCATCGAGGGAAAAACACTAGACAAAGAAAAAGTGCTGCTTTTGCTACAGGGATCTACCGCGAATCGAACGCGGGACCTCACCCAGTATGACGCAAGCCCTAAGGGTGAATCATACCTCTAGACCATAGATCCGACACAACCCGACTCCGTTCTGAAAAGTCTGTTATGTAGGACATTGCAGACGACGAGATGCAAAATGCAAGGCTAAGTGGTCCACACCGTCACTATCTCATCCTTGCCCACAAACTTTCCTCCAAAAGAAATGAAAGAAATATGTATCATCCGGGTGGCCCTCAACTTATCGATGCGAGCCCATCTATCAATCAGCTATCTACCAGATCTAGCACTGACCCTCCAGAAATGCCAGCCCTCCTCAACGAGTCAGCTCCATCACACCGAAACGGGCAGGCATCTGTACTGCCGTCGTCGTTGGCATAATTGACGACGAGAACCAATCTACATAGAGAAATCAAGTCCTGTCACTTGGTGTGGGGTCAAGAAGCTGACCTCTTTCCGCTGGACGAGATATCCATCTCTCTGCAAGCATTCTCAATGAACGATTGGATCTGCTGTGCCTTTCTCACAGCAATAACAACCTTTCTGCCCGACTTGACGTCTCGGACGGTTGCGAGTCCTTCAATGTTTCCGTCCTCTGGCTCGGTGATGATGCTTGGTATAGCGCTAATGGGTGGTGGTTCCGAAGGGGAAGACGCCGCAAGCGAGACACCGGTCGGGAGAGACGTAGGTGACTGGATGTCTGAGCGAGAGATGGAGCGCGAGCTGGAGAGTGACATCGAACAATGCCTCGTAGGAGCTGGAAGAACAAGCTTAGGCAGTTAGCAAGCGTATGTGGTCTGGGTAGACTGAGAAGTGGCTTACGTGTGAAGAACTGCATCTGGGTATCCGCCGCTGCTTCTTCTAGCCAGTGAACGCCAGAGTCACGGCGTGCTCTAGGTGCGTTAAGCTGTTCCAGCGGTGGAGATGCACTCCTGATGCGTAAAAGGGGAACGGGGCCCACGTCTACAATGGAGGTCTGCTCAGCCGAAGCCACGTTCAGAGCACCTTTAGGGGGAACGGGAACGGGAATGTTCACGGATGGGCGTGTAGGCCGGGCGGTGTCCTGGCGAAATGTGGCGGGTCTCTTTATTTGAGATCCATTCGAATGCTCTGTACAGAGCATCAACACACGTCGGAGCCTGCGTTGCTAGGGCGAGGCTTACCGGAAGTAAACATGCTATGGGCGTGTGCAGCATGCTCGGCAGGATCTTCATAATCATCGGAGACAGTAAGATCAGAGCCCCAATCATCGAGCTCATCTTCAGAGTCTTCGGCAAAGTTGCGAGACGGACCTCCTTTCGTTTGCCCTAGCGCAAGGTGCGAGGATGAAGAACGAGATGGTGCGTCCGCATATGAGGATTGGGAGATCGGGCTGTCAGGATGAGGAGAATCCCTGGTGCACAGGCCAGAAGCCTTGGCCTGAGGCATACTCGTGATACTGGAGTCTGAGTACCAATGTTCGAAAAAATTCGGCGTGGAACACGGTGCAGACTCATGTCCTGTTGAGCATGTGTGATTCAGCCCGGGCCTCATGCTGATAGAGAGCAACGAGCTTACCAGTGTATGCAGCAGCAACTCTAACAAGACGATCCTTTACAATGGGATACACCTCAGTTGTGAGCGCAGTATCTTCTCCCAGCTGGAAGAAAGCTGCAGGAATGTAAAACAGAAGGGATCTAGCACGATTGACCCCAAACATGTCTCTAACGAGGAGTTCAAGCCCCTTGAGCCCAGTTAGTCAGGTCTGTTGCGCGACGCTAAGGTCGGGAGGAACGCTTACCTGCATCGTCTGAGGCTTCAATATCAGGCGGGCCATCCCACCTTCGAAAGAAACAGACATGACCGGAAGACTGAGACTACCCTCGGCGGTGTAGTGAAAGAGTTTGCTAAACATGGTAGGAGTGTGGAGTGGGTGGCTAAGGAACGTAGTGTGCTTGCTATCCACGAAGGCCGCTCTATATATCTAGACGTATTCGCAAAGGCGGCGACAAGAGGGCAGTAGCTGCTGGCTGTACGCCAAAAGCATTGCAGGCAGCTTTCGTATATCTGGTGGCGGTTATCGGGCGCACGCCGTGGGCAGTGACACTGGCAAGGTAAAGGCAAGGAGGGGCGAAGGTCGGTGAACGTGCTGCAGGGCGTTCCTCAGCTATGCACTGTTCTGTTGAAACACGTCTCGCCCCCTGCCTTGGGTTCGGTCGCACGCCCGTAGGGCCCTTGTCAACCACACGACAGCTGTGGCCATCTTCAAGTCATCAGCCCTTGGAAATGCAGCACATGCATACTTCTACCTCCCAACGTGGTGGGTGCATGAGCTTTCGGCGCACCTGCTGAAAACAGCAGTAAGTACACACTCCAGCACGATAGAAATCACATGAACAGTAGCCCTGGGGTTAAAACCTTTTGTAGGGGCCACCAGCTCCATGGAGGGAGACCGACCCGCTGAGATCAGAGGAATAGTAGGTGTGTTACTGATCTAGTTATTCACGTTCTGCCTGGTGGTATAACCACGCGAACAGGTTCGAGATTCGAAATATAGGATATGATCTAGACTCTTGGGAAAGCGGAATCATAAGGGAGACTGCACGGCGTGATAGAGATTCGGTTTGGAGACTGGATGCAATTGTGATGAAAGCAGGATACAGGTTCAGGACATTATTGAACGTGATCAATGATCGTTGGTATCGCTCGACGCACCCCTCAGGCCTCAGGCCTCATGACCAAAAGTCAAAGCATACGCAGGAACGAGATGAAGTCCATTCCGCAGATTATAGACCAGTCGACTGTGAACAGACACCATAGCTACAGTTGAACATATAAGCAAAAAAAGGTAGGCAGTAAGTATAACGGAGAAGGCGGTATAGAAGGGTAAACATCAGCACAGGCGGGCATAGTAGGAGTTATCACAAAGGGAGGCTACATCGACGACAGGGCGCGGGGTAAATGGGTGAGTAAAAAGAGAACGTTAGAAGAATCAGGAATGGGCGCAAGTACAAGTGCAAAGAAAATCATGTTAAATGAGAGTAGAAATGTGGTATGATTGAAGAGGGTGAAACGGTCCTAATATCAAGCGAAGAGAGGAGCATGGCGCGAATAACAGAGGGGAAGTCGAGAAGCGAAACGGAGAAGAATAAAGGTCGAAGAGGAGAGCAGAAATTCAAGCACGATGCCTCATTCCTGGATGGTACTGTCCATACTGATCCAAGGATTGCATGACCCGAGGATCCACCTGCGCCTGGTCACCAAATCGCAGCTCCTGAATGATGTTCTTCCAGTACATGTCATCCTGTTCTGTCCGCTGTGCACCTCCATGTTGGTGGTGGTGGGGCATCTGATGGGGGTTCGCATAATAGACTGCAGTGTCTGATGGATGTTGGGTCTGCGTTGGGCCGGCATGAGGGGTATGTGTCTCCGCCAAGGGATGAGAATGGGGATGCGGCGAGTGGTGTGAGTGGTGGCCATGAGGGCTTGGTGAGTGTTGAGGATGTAAGGAGGCGTGCTGAGGAACGTGTGGGTGAGAGGGAAGCAGTGGCGCCGAGGTAGGATGGGAGTGAGGAGTGATAGACGAGTGGCCGCTAATAAGGGAAGCAGACCCATAGTGAACTGGTACGTGTGGGGAGTGCGTGGATGATGGGTGAATGTTCGAGTTCTGAGAGGGCGGTAGCGCATTGTACGGCGAGGAGTGATCCAGAGTTTGAGAGTGGCTCTGAGCGTCCAAGGAATGAGGAATATGGTGGTTGGGGTAATAGTTTCCAACAGAGCCGCTAGGCTGATAGGCCGGGACAGGTTGGGGCGCTGCAGAGCAGTTACACGGTTAGCAATGGCAAAGAATAACGTCGGATATGAAAGCACAAACCTAGCACCTGCATTGGTCCGTCAGGGTATTGCTCCTGCTTGATTGCTCCACCAATGGCACTGGAGCTCCTCCTTGTGCTGCTTCCACCTGTCGTGGCGGTTGGTGTTGCGCCGGAGCTCGAAGTGACAAACCCGTCCTGAATGAGCCAAATGAGGAATCGCGAATGGTACGATATAGATAAGCATGCTGGAGAGATTTGAGACGCCTTATGGTATGCTGCTGAAACTGTACGAATGCGCGCATAAGTAGCTTCGGCAGCGCCGTCGTCTAGCTCGGAAACGGTGGTGGGGCTGCGAACGAGCTGCAAGGCGTATACTCAGAAGTGAACCTAAATCTGGAAACAGACAGAGAGACATACCCGGACGAGAAACACAGTGGCGTACGCGGTCATGACGGCGATGGAGTCTTGGCTGTAACTCTGTAAGTGCAGGTGAGTAAAAGCTGCGAGGTCACTAAGGGTACAAGACGTACGAGCATATCTATTTTGGCAAAATCCTCCGAGACAATCTTCAGTACGTCGATTGCGTACGAGAAGCACGAATATAGAGGCTCGAGGTTGGGTCTTGCACGACTCGACTGGAAAGTCGTCAGCCAGGAAGGACTCGCGACGCATAGAGTAGGTGACGCACCGGAGACAATGATGACCTGATGCCGAAACTATTGAGGAATAGGCGAACGTAGACATGGAACAGATTGATGAACGACCAGTGGAACGGCTGTACATTATAAGCTGCGTTAAACTGGTGTCAATCAACAGTCGGAAGTCTATGACTGTAGAAACATGCCTCTTTCGAGTTGCTCCTTCCAGTCCTCTGACCAGCGTTGTAGTCGTGCATTGCAGGTCTTGAGCGTACCGTCGTGATTAACATCGGTCGTCCGTGATGCGCTTGCATTAGCTGAAAGAAGATGTTCCGTCGTCTCCGCCTAACATAGAAAAGTTCAGTGATGCTTGGATAGTAAGTGGTAAAGGCGAAACCTACCACAATCCTCCTCAGTTGGACAAAGGACGCCAGAATGACGTCCTCCGGTCTGATTGGCGCATCACCGTCCTCGCCACTAGGGGCTGCCCCATTATGTTCATGCCACCTGTTTGAGTTCCTTACAAGGTCGCATTCTTGCAACATCCATGGTTTCCCCGTCTGCGTAGACAACGAGCGATCGTGAACGAACAGGATAAGGTACGTTCGCTCACGATTCCGTCGTTCCAAGCGCTGCTGAGTAG